CTCACGACGGACCTGGAACTGTCTCCGGGGAAGATTTTTCCGTGGGAACCTGGCTGCGGCCACTCGGTGACTAATCCCATGCTGTCTGGTGGCCGAGGCCCAGGCCCGGGGCCTCCTCAGGCCGTGCTCAGGCCTGGCTGGCGTGGCCGAGGGCTCCCCTCCTCCTCCTCCTGGCCCTCTGACCCTCCCGGGGCCTCACTCTGATAGGGGTCCTGCAGAGGGACCCTCACCCTCGCCCCCGCCCCACCAGTGGCCTCGGGTTGCAGCCCAGGCTGCTCCTGGAGAACAAACCCAGGACACGGCTGCTGCTCACTCCCGGTCTCTCCTCAAACTCCGCCCCCACCTGTGGGTGTGGGGTCAGTTCTCTCTCGGAAGGAGAAATTGAGGCCCAGAGAGGCTCCCCAGCTTGCTCCCAGGCACCAGAGGGTGCTGGGACTGGATGCAGGGGCCTCAGCTTCTCGCTCGAGCCGCCTTCCAGAAGATTGGGGGCCCCACGGCTCCTGGGGGGCAGCTATGACACATGACCAGTTGGGAGCGGGTGGGGGCCCCCCGCCCCGACCTGTGCTGCCCGGGAAGGAGAAAGGGGAGGGGCAGGCAGAGGGGTGCGGGGCTGGAGCTCTGCTTCGGCTGCAGCTGGTTCCCAGGCTCCTGCCTTGGACCGGGTCTCGGGCTTGGACGGGGAGAGGAGAGGCTGCAGGACCTGATTAAGCAGCAGAGCACAGCCCTCGGTCTTGGCAGGCGGGCCCCACAACCTGCCTGCCAGACGCTCTAGGAAGGTTCTTCTGAGGCCAGAGATGTGCAGGTTCCAGAGAGAGGACAAAGTGTGGGTGGGGGAAGGGCCCCTGAGGCAGCCCGGGGCAGGAGCGGTGCCGGCCAGCAGGCCTGGACTGGCTGGAGGCCACCGTCTCAGAGGGAGCGAGACCGGACCTGGCTGGGAGCCCGTTACTCGTCCGTCTTGACGATCCGGAGGCTCATTCATCCCGTGGAGGGGGCGGGGCTCTTCCTGTGTGCAGGCCGGGCCGCCGTGCGACCAGCGGGTCAGCCAGGAAGGGCCCCTGGTGTCCGGCTGCGTGGTCTCCATTGTCACGCACAGTTTACCTTGGAAAAGCATGGACTTCGGGGTCCAACTTGGACTCGGGTCCCCGTGGCAGCGTTTGCACAGGCTGTGTGACCTTAGGGCGGCCACCGGCCTCTCTGAGCCAAATGCCCGTGGAGTAGGGAGGCCACACTTGGGGCTGCCGGGTCGGAGGGCAGGTGGCAAGGGCGTCCAGTGCACACGGGATCCAGAACGTGCTGAGCACATGTCGCTTCCTTCCTCCCCTTCCCTCCCTGCCCCCGGGAGCACTGCCTACGTGGTGGCCGTGCCCTCACCCGAGGACACGCTTTCATTGATTTTAGAGAGAGAGGAAGGGGAAGAGAGAGAAACAGCCATCGGTCCCGTGCTCACCTCCACCAGGGATCAGATCGCAGCCTACAGGTGTGCCCTGACTGGGACTCGAACCCGAAACCTTATGGGGTGTGGGACGATGCCCCAACCGACCTGGCCACTTGCCCAGGGCTTGCCTGCCGCTGATGACAGAGCTTCACCGCAGGGTTTCACGGCCTTCCCAGTCGGAAGTCGACCTTCAGGCCAACCTGGAGGCTTCTTGCTTTGGTTTGTGCCCAAGTCCAATGAGGACCCTTGGCCTTGGTCCAAGCCTGATGCTTTTGCTGGGTGCTGGGGCCGTCTTGGAGGCGGGGCACGTGCCGGTGGCAGAGGGTCAAGAGGACAGAGACACAGCAGTCTGCTGGAAACAGGGCCTCCAGGGACACAGCCGTGGCTGCGCCGCAGATGCTCTGCCGGGAAGCGGCGGGCGGAGGGGCTCCCCGAGCCGCAGGGCCCTGGCCACCCCGCCCCCGCCTGCCCCCAGCTCCCCTGCCCCCCAGCCTGGCTCTGAGGTCGGCAGGCCCTGTCATCCTGACCCCCACGCCACCGCTGCGGGCAGGTCCTGGGGAAGGAAGGGCAGTTGGGGCTCGGGAGCAGGCCTGGGCTGGGGGCCTGGACGGGGTCGGAGTGGGCAGAGGGGGTGCAGGACATGGCGAAGGCGCCTGCGGCCGGAGCCCGGACTCACCTTTGCAGTGGGTGCGCCTCTGCCCGGCTCCAGGCTCCGACTCCAGGCCGCAGCACATCTCTGAGCCTCTCTGGGCTCCGGGCCGGGGCCCTGGGACCTCAGGCTGGACCCTAAAGTGCACCAGAGGCGAACCCTTCCAGAAAGAGCGGTGCCGTCAGTGAGCCCCCTGGGCTGCAGCAGGGCTGCCGTCCAACACTCCTTGGTGGCGCGAGTGGCCGTCACCGGCCAACCAGATGCCGAGGCTGCTGAGCCCTTGAAATATGGCTGCTGCCACCGAGGAACTGAATTTTAAATTTTACTGAGTTTTAATTGATTGAAATATAAACGATGCTGAGCATCATTGGTCATTAGGGAAATGCAAATTAAATCCGCAGCGAGGTCCCGCTGTGTACCCACGAGGACTGCGGTAACCGACCAAACAGACGCCGCCGGCATTGCCCGGGGTGTGGAGGCTCAACCTCCCACAGGCGGTGGGAACGTGGGAAACCGCCCGCCGGTCCCTCAGCGCGTCCCACACTGTGGCGTAGAGTCGCCGCGCGACCCCGCCTCCCAGAGGCTGCACACAGATGTGCGTGCAAAAACTCGGGTGTGGATTTCATATGGCTTTATTCACACAACAGGCCCAAAGTGGACACGTCCCCAAATGCCCATTGAAGGATGAGCAGGTAAATAAATGTGTCCCTCCGACGGACGATCACTCGGCCGTGAAAAGCAGGGGTGATGTGAGTGAGGCACAGTGGGAAGGAGCCGGAACACCCCGGCTCAGGCGGCCACAGGAGGCCACGGCTCTGGGAGACTTTTATGTGAAATGTCCAGAACCGGCCGGCGCCTGCAGACAGGAGGCAGGTTGGCGGACACCAGGGGCTGGGTGAGGAGTGACCGGTAATGCGTGTGGCGTTTCTTTCGAGGGTTGGGGGGGATGTTCTGGAATAAGGTCGTGGTGGTGGTTGTGCGGCTTTGCACTAAAAGACAGGCCCTCCCCAGTGGCCCTCCACCTCTGGGCCCTGGGCCCTGCCCCCAGCCCGGCCCCTCTGCCTGCGGGTTTTCTGCTGTGTCAGCTGTTGCCATAATAACCACTCCCCGCTCCCAGCAGCCAGACTTGGTTGGAGCAAGTGCCACAGAAGGAGACGATTCCATCTCGAGCGAGGTCCACCGGGCAGGAGAGACAGGGCCAGTCGGGGACTGGGGACCGTGTCTCCGGCGAAAGCAGCGGGTCATTTCCGCAGGGGTCCTGCCCTCTGAGCCCAGCCCAGAGTCCAAGTCTGTAGGTCGGGGAGCCTGGGCTGTTTGCGGAGCACCTCTCTGACCCCGTATGGACGGGGTGGGGAGCGGAAGGTGACGGCCGCCCTGCACTCCTTCCAAACAGGAGGCCGGCGCCACCCCCCCTCTGGCCCCAAGGCGCTGGCCCCCAGCCGTTGAGTCCTCGCTGGGCAACAGGTGCCTGGTGTGGAATGTGGCCGTGCACTGCCCCTGCCCGGAGCGTCACGCTGCACACCGTCTCCCCAAGGCCACGTTTGCTGGCAGGCTGGGCAAGGCTGGGCTCTGGCTCTGGCCGTCCCGCCTCTGCCTCCGGAGATTGCTGAGCGGGGCCCACAGGTGCCCCGGCCTCCCTGGGCTGCCCCTGGTCCCCATGAATGGGGCGGCTGCCCTGGGTGGGTGCTGCCCACTCTCGGCTGTTCTCAGGGTACATCCCAAGGGGTGCAGGGTGCAGAGCAGAGAGAAGAAGCAAAAAGACGCTCCAGGCACCTGCTCCCAAGCCTGACAGCTGCCAGCCCCGGGCCCTGTGGCAGAGGACCGGCAGCACCCCCTGGTGGCCCTCCTGGGCAGCTGGCCCCGGAAACTCTGCGGGGGGCTGGACCTTCTGAGAGCTCCATAGAGGGGCTCCTCTCCTCAGAAGGCACAGAGGGGCCGAGGGCTCTCCCAGGGAACAGATGTGGTTCTGTGCCCAGGACTCAGGACCCAGCCCAGCCCCTGGCTTCAGGAAACCCAGCCCCGGGTTAGTGAGGTATCCTGGGGGCATGCAGTGCCCTATCAGTGTATCTCAAAACATGACCCTGTGTGTCGTGTTGCCCTCAGTGAGGGCTCGCACCATCTTGGGCTCCTGGGTCCCATCCTGCCCTCTGGCTGTGACCTCTGGCTGACACCTGGTACCTGCAGTCTGAACGCACCCTGGGAGAAAAAACACACTTCTAGTGGGCTTCAGCCAGTGACAAAGCCGTAGAGCCTGACTGTGAAAGTTGGTTAGGGGCCTTGGGGACCCCTTATGTTACAGATAGGGGAACCGAGGCCCAGAGAGGGGAAGTGATGTGCACAGGGCCCCACGGCTAATTAGTGGCCTTGGAAAAACCCGCTAGGACACTCTGCCCCAGCTGCCTTCCTCCCCGCCCCGTCCCTGGCTCACACTTCCTCTTAACACAGTGTCTGCAGGAGAGTCAGGACCGAGGGTCTTATGGTGAGGATCGTTTTGCAATGTATACAAATGTTAATGTACACATATGCAGTGATACAATGTATACGACATGTACAGTGTATACAAACTCAATGATACACAATGTGTACAATGTATACAAATGTCCATGTATACGATGTTTACAGTGATACAGTGTATGCAATACAAGGTATACAGCGATACAACGTATACAGTATATGCAAATGTCAAATCTTTATACACCCAAAAAAAAAGAAAAAGAAAAAAGCCAATACTGTAGGTGATTAGGAAAGACCTGGCGCTTCCAGACCAGGGTGAGCGTGCATGGCGCCCTTTCTTGCCCCAGACTCACTTTGGTCTCCGAGGTCCCTTGTCCTTGCCCAGAGCATCCACGTGGCCCTGCACGCTCCTGGTTCTGCCCAGGCGTGGCTGCCCTGACCGCTGGGCTCTCAGCTCCCATTCGCTTCACTGGCCGGGCAGGCGGTGCAGGATTCTCAGACGAGGAGAGACTTCGGGGAGCTCGGCTAGGGAGCAGGAGATTTCAACAATGAGGAGCATGCAATTTGTCACGCTGCAGGGCTCGGTGACAACCGCCCCGGCAATATTGTGACTTATGTGGGGCTCCAGTGAGATCGGATTAGAAGCAGAGTAAACGGTCCCCCGCCGGTGTGCTCCGTGGAGGTGGGGTGTCTCTCAAGTGGAGCCCCAACAGCCAACTTTCTAGGGCTTCTGGGGCCATCAGAGGGGGGGAAAGGGGTGGGGGCGGGTGGGGTTGTCGTGGGAGAAGCCTCTGGAGGACAGAGATTTCGGGGGGTGGGGGGTCATCCAGCTGAGGCCAAGTGCTCCTGGGCCAAGAGCCTCAGCCAGGGGACACCTGGTCCCTGTCACAGCCTGGGCGACCTCGGCAAGCCTGCCTTCTCTGGGCCTGCATGATATGTGTTCCCCCTGTGTGACCAGTGAGAAAAGTGACTCTTTCCAACTCTGAAATGGCATCTCCTGGAAGTGTCCTTCCTTCACTCCCCAGTGGCCTCCTGCTGGCCCCCCAGTCTGGCCATTCACGGCAAAAGCCAGTCCAGCTGCCGGCGCGAACCCTGTTCTCTGTGGCTGTGCCCTGGGCGAGCCCGCCAAGGTGGGTTTGAAAATGCGGGTGGAAGTAATCAGGGTTCCGAAGGCAGTTATTGAAGGTGACTTAATTGTCAGAGAACAATTAAAGTCGTATGGGACTCGGGGAGATTTGCCTCCTGGGTGACAGTCCCCTCAAGTCCCTTCTCCATTCTGCGTGTCCCTGCTCTGCAGGGTAACCACCCTCGGGGGGGAGGTGGACACACGGGGTTTTAGGCTGCCGGCCAGAGAAGCCCCAGGGGCCCAGCATTCCCGCAGCTGAAACCGGCTGCCGGTGAGACATTAGTCCCTAGTGACCCCGGACAAGGCCTGTCACTGTGCGAGCACCTCCCCCAGCAGTTTGAGGCCCTGGAGGAGAACATAGGCTCCCCCCCCGAGCTGTGCCCAATGGGGACGGCCCCACGGGGTGTCCCTGCTGCTCCCCGCCCCTCTGAGTCCCTGACAGACACTAGGCGGCCTTCGCAGGGCACCTACTGTGTGCAGACTGTGGACTAAGCCCTTCAGGCCCATCCCAGCAGCCCTTCTGGTTGGAGGATGCCATCACTCTCCCCGAGTCACAGAGGGGAGATGCCTAGTTCAAGGTCAAGCACACGGGGAAGGGCAGTCCTAGGATCTGAACTCAGATCTTCTGACTCTGAGAGCTGCCGCTGTCCCGTCTGCCTCTCAGGCCGGTCAGCTGCGTGCAGCCTTGCTCCGAGCTGCCTGCTCTGCCCCCACGTCAGAGACGCGCCCTGTTCGCACTTCCGCGCCCTGGCGGGTGTGGCTCAGTGGCTGCGTCCTGTGCACTCTGGGCCGTCCTCCCCCCCGATGAGTCACCCTCTGCTCTGGGGTCCCCCTTATCAGCCACGAGGGCGGCCTGCCCGCACGTGTCCTCTGCGCCCGTCTGCGGAAGTGCTGAGCCTCGCGTGTCTGGAGCTGGGTGGGGGGCTGTCCACAGCTGGACCGTCTCCGGGGCGCCCTGTGTTTTGAGGTGCAGCTGCGCCACCGTGGAGGGGAGAGTGGCTTTGGGGTCAGACAGACAGGGAAGTGTCTGGTGCGGTTGACTTGTGGGGGGACATTCGGTGCTGGGCGTTGCTGCATCTGCCTGTGCAGCTCTGCGTGGCTCTGGTCAGTGGGGTGTTCTCCGTGGCCTTGTGTACGTGGCAGCGCTGTGTTCGGACCAGCACCCCCGACCCTGCTGATGACCAGGGCACACCACACAGCTGTCACCATGGCAACGGCACATCACGGGGCAGCGCTAGGGGTGGAGCCACTCCTGTTCCCATGGAGCCAAGGAGCACACGTACACACATGTACACATATGTACACTAACACACCTGCACACACATGAGCGAGCATTTAGGTTGGGTGGGTGGATTCTTTTGCAGATGCCACGTACATTTTCCAGCGGCAAATGTAGGCTTGCCGTGGGGTGGGGGATGTGAATGTCCCACTGTCCCCTGGCCTAGGCGAAGGGCCTGCAGCCTGCTGAGCTCTGAGGCCATTCCCGCATGTCCCCATCAGTCCGTCGTCCTGGGGCTACGCTGTCACCAGGAATGTTGGGCACAGCCAACTTCTCAGGGGCCCCCATGCCCCCGGCCTGCCCCGCCCTGACAGGGGCCCTGGAGAAGCAGGGCAGCCTGCCCACAGTGACCACCAGAGGGTGCTGCTGGGCACAGGACCCCACCCTGCCACCCTCAGAGAGCCAGGCTGGGCCCGGCCCACCCTCTCCTTGCTCAGAACTTGCACCTGCACCTGGGGGAGGGTCCCAGGAACGCGTCTCTGGCCTCCAGCCAGTCTCCCTCCCCTGGGCCTTGGCCCCTGGCTCAGTGGCCGGGTGGGACTGAGCCCCCCACTCCCCCCACCCCAGGACTCTGTGGCTCTGACTCCTGGCCTTCCAGGCGGTCCTGCCCGCTGGGCTGACAGGGAAATGAGGTGGGACCGGGGGACGGGCTCCTGGAAGGAAGCAGGGCAGGAAAGGGGGCACCGCGCTCAGTGCAGCGAGACGTGAGGAAGTGTCTCTTCCTGTCACGAGCCCTTTGTGACCCAGGGAACCCCAGACGACCTTCCCGAGGCTGGCCGCTGGGAGTTCATATTTTTCCCTTAAGAAGGGACGTCTCCCTGACGGGGCCTCTGTCCACTCACTCCCATGTGCGTGTGTGTTTATCTGTGGCAGTGACATGCACAGAATCCCTACTGCATTCTGTCAACTCGGGCGTTTGGAGGATGGGCCCATTCACAGTCTCGGGGTGGCTCCTGGCCACCTCCTCGTTGGGACCCCAGGCCCCCCGGAGTGGTGTCCTCTCTCCAGGCCTTGCCCTGGTCCCCGCCAGCATGGCCCTGGCCCAGAGCCCCCATCTCATCTCGGCACCACGCTCTCGGTCCCCGCGCCGGTGTTTGAGCACCACACTTCAGAAATATACTCGAGACCTTTCCGACTGTCCCCACCGCCTGCCGGCCATCCGTCACGGCCAGGGGGCTGATCACGAGGTGACACATGCCAGGATAGATCTGCACGGTGGCCGCAGAAGTGACGTCGGGCTGGCGGCAGCTCCGTACTCCCAGCCTGGATGCCTGGTGCTGTCCACAAGAGACGGCAGCCCCCCAGCCTCCTACGGGCTCCCCGGTTGGGGAGGGGGCGGGGCTGGGCTGGGTGTGCCGCCGGTTCTCAGGAGAGGTGTGCCTGGCCTGCGCAGGGTCCTGGGGGAGATGCCTCTGGAAGGGGTTCGGACATGTTCCCTTTGGCGGCTCAGGAACCTTATTCTCCCGCTGAGTCGTGGGGAGGAGGTGGCACCGAGTGGGCAGTTTGGGCTGCGGGGGGCCGGGGCCGGGGCCCAGAGCTGCTGGTCGGCTCCTCCCTGCGGGTCCCGGCCTTCCTCCCAGGCGGTGTCCCAAGGAAGCTCTGGGGGTTCGACTCGGTTCAGTGGCCACAGGTCCCAGAGTCAAAGAAGAGCGCGGGACAGATGGCTCGGGTCCCCCGAGTTGCAGTGTCCCTGGGCCCGCTGCACTCTCCGGTGCGCACAGTGGGTGTCTGACGGTGGCCCATTGGGCAGGCTGATGGGAGCAGAACGGTCCAGGGCCTGTGTGCAGGGCTGCACAAGGCCTGAGAGGCAGGGGACCAGCGTGCCCTGAGGGTGGGGACGGTCTGTCTCCACTTCCCGGACCCCCAGGGTCCCAGCAGGGAGCCCTGCACTCACCCCATGCTTCCCTTCGTCCCCCCCAGACCCAGAGTCCCAGAGGAAGAGGACGGTGCAGAACGTCCTGGACCTTCGACAGAACCTGGAAGAGACCATGTCCAGCCTGCGGGGGTCCCAGGTCACTCACAGGTACGCTGCGGGGCGGGGCTGGGGGTGGTCACGCCCGCCACTGCCCTCTTCCGTCCCCGGGCCCCAGGTGTCTCCAGACGCACTTTCGCGGCTGGACCTCCCCTCAAGTGTCACGTGGTGTCACTGAGAGCTGTCCTGTCCCTGAGCCAAAGCCTCCCTCATGCTAGGATTCGGGGGCTGCCCTCCCCGCTCGCTCTCAGGGTCTTTGTGCTCTGCAGTCAGGGTCCTTCTTGGCTCAGTGGGGCGCACACAGTGTTGCCCAGACTCTGTGCCATGTGCGTGAGCCCCCATCCACCCCGGGGACCTGGGGCCGCCAGGTGCTTGGGCGTCAGTGTCCCACACGCCCCCTGCAGGGCGACCTGGGCACAGCCATGACTCAGAGTCTCTCTCGGCGCTGCCTCCTCCTCCTTGGGCTGCCCCTCTGAGCTCACCCTGCGGCTCCAAGGGGGCGGGCGGAGGGCCTGGCTGCACTGGGCAGGGGGTGTGGGGGCAGCCAACAGCAGCCAGGATTGGGAAATTGTGGGGCTGTGACACAGGAAGGCACAGAGAGGGACTGGTCACCTCTCCAGCTGGCCTGGAACTCGGTTCCTCCCTGGGGCTGCAGAATGAGAACAGAGTTGGGACACAGGGACAATGGGGAAAGGACTATGTTAGACCAAGTGTGTGGCCAAGTGATAGCCAGAGTAAATTTGCATACCTCCAGTGACGGAGAACTCATTATCTCTCAACCACCAGCCTCCGCCCCACATGGAACAGGGGTCTGCCTCATTGCGTTAGAGACCCCATGGATGTGGTCTTGAACGTCCTCCTTCCCCATCCGGGGAAGCTGCCGGATCAGCACTCAGCATCCACTGCTCCCAGCCCCTGAAAACACTTAGTTCCAAGAGAGTCACACCCTGAGTGACTCACTGAAGGGAAAGGGCAGAGGCGGCGGCTGCAGCCTCCTGGGGCCACTGACTCTGAGCAGCCAGCCCCCCCAAGTTCAGCAGAGCCTCTCGGCCACAGGCAGAAGCTGTAGTGGGGGGTGGGGCGCCCGAAAGCCTTTTGCACACAGCTGACCAGGTTGGGGGCACCTCGGGCCTCTGGCTTCTGTCTCCCCACAGGGGAAAGGGAACCGAGAACCCCAACCTGGGCTTTCTGTTTACATGGACCAAGGGCCACTTCTGCTCTCAGCCCCGGTTTCTGTCATTCCTCTCCCACGCGGGGAGAGCGGACAGTGGCCCCTTGAATTCTTACCCCTCTTTCACTCTCTCCAGTGTGTTCCATCACTCAGCCCCTCCCTCAGCCCTGGGTGTGCACAGTACGGGCCCTCGGTCCCCAGGCAGAGAGGGAGCGTCCTGGGCAAGTCACCCCGAGTCACAGGCTGGTGCAGGCTGCTGTGCATCCCGGAGGCCAGGACCCGGGTGGCCAGTGCCAGCGAGGTGTGGCACCCCGGCCTGCCAGGCACCTTTGGGCTCTGTGCCTGAGGAGCCCACAGCCCAGTGAGTGCTTCCGGCAAGGAAGCTGGAGCTCACAGGCTGGTGCTGGATTCACTTCCTTCCAGAAACTTCTATTCCTGCCCTGCTTCCCCTACAACCCCAGCAAGGCCTCGCATCAGGGGGCTGGACTGGGGAGGAAATGAAACTTCCTCCCTCTGCTCCCTGGCCTGCTGCTCCCCCACAGAATGTGCTCCCCAGATGGAGGCCTGGGCGTGTATGGCCTGGAGCCGGAGCACAGCCTTCCCCAGCGACACAGGCTCTGAGAGGTGGCCTGGGGTGGACGGGGGCAGGAGGAGGGGCTCCAGGCGACAGCCAGACAGGCAGACGGGCCCCACGCTGCCCTGTTTTATCTCTGCCGTGTAGACCAGCTACACCTCCTGTCCCTCAGCTGTCATGGTCCTGGCCCTTCGCTCAGGCCACCATCCCCTGCTAACCTGATGTGCGTGCAGGCCTCAGGCCTGGGGCCCTGGACCTCCGCCTTCGCCCCCCCACCCCTGCCCCCATCATCCAGTTAAGTGGTTCTCTGGTGAGGCCCCTCCTGCCGCCCCAGGTCTGGGCAGAGGCCAGTCTCCCTGGGAATCGGCCGCCCGCCCCAGGTCCCCAGGCTTTGCCTACGCTCCCTGCAGCCCACTCCAGCCTCACTGCCTCGACTTGGAATGAACCAGCCCCCCACTCATTGGCAGAGGGGAGGTGGACAGAGTGAGTGACAGGCTCCAATGCTCAGGTGGCCGAAAGCCCCACCCCCGGGCTGCCAGCTGGTCTCCCCTGCCCCTCCCCTCCCCATCACTGAGCGCTGAGTGGGGGCTTCACGGTGTGTGTGAGCCGGGAGCCCCAACAAGTAGCTGTTAGCTGTTGAGGAAAGAGCTGTCCTCAGCTCGCTTACGAGTAAATGGCCATCGGCTCCCATTACAGAGTCTGGGTGCCTTAGGTGGCCTTCCTGGCTCCGAAATCGTTTCCTCCCACAACCTGAGATAACAAATAACAGGAGTAACTCACACAGCGGAGGCGTCCTGGAGGAGGTGGCCCGGGCAGGTGGGGGGGGGGGCGCTCTGGGAGCAGTCTGAGGGCCTCCTGGAGGAGGTGGCCCAGCAGCTGTGCCCAGCGTGACCCAACGCCCCGTCCCCACCCAGCTCCCTGGAGATGACCTGCTATGACAGCGATGACGCCAACCCCCGCAGCGTGTCCAGTCTCTCCAACCGCTCGTCCCCTCTGTCTTGGCGCTACGGCCAGGCCAGCCCACGGCTGCAGGCAGGCGACGCCCCCTCGGTGGGCGGGAGCTGCCGCTCGGAGGGGCCGCCCGCCTGGTACGCGCACGGGGAGCGCGCCCGCTACTCGCACACCATGCCCATGCGCAGCCCCAGCAAGCTCGGCCACGCCTCCCGCCTGGACGCGGAAGACGCGGACCTCAAGTCCGGCTACATGAGCGACAGCGACCTCATGGGCAAGACCATGACGGAGGACGACGACATCACCACCGGGTGAGAGCGGGCCCTGCCCGCGGGATGGGGTCGGGGGTCCACGGAGAGGCCCCTGAGCTCAGGCTGCTGCGCTGGGAAGGCCCGTGTCCTGGTTGTGACCGCTCCGGGGAGGCCCGCGGTCCTTCTAGACCTGGAGTGGGGTGCAGGGCGGACGTCTGAGGTGGGTGGGGCCGGCGCCGGTCCTCATTGGCCGCTGGGGCTGTCCTGCGGTGCGTCCTGTCTCTGGTCCTCGACCCCAACGAGGCCGGGAGGAGCGGCTCCGGAAAGGGTGTGTGGGCCTCGGGCGGCCTCACCTGCTTCCCCGTTCGTGCAAAGAGGGTGATAAGACTGTCTGTCCCTCTCGAGGGCTGCTGAGGAGAGGGTGGACGTGCGAGAGTGACAGCTGCACCGCCTTCCCCTGTCCCCCGGCCCCGCTCTCCTCGTGGCCCCCGTGTCTGCTCCTCGGCTCCCCTCCTCTGCCGGCCTCTGCCGGTCCCCTGCCCTCCGGCCCCTGCCCTCGGCCCTGCGGGATCCCTGTCTCCACATCTTTTCCTGCCCCAGTTGACAGGGTGGGGTTTGTGGAGCAGCTTGGACACGGTGCGCGTGACAGCTGGGGAGGGCAGGGGAGGGTGGGAAGGAAGAGGGGCTGACCGAGCAGCACGGGGTCTGGAGAATTCTGGAAGCTTCTCGGGTGTCTCAGCGAGCCAAATTTCCACCCTCCAAGGGACCACACAGGTAGCTGCAGGGACACCCTCTCCCCAGGAAAACCTCCAACTTGGAGAGAGAGGAGGGACGGGAGCAGGCTCAGGCCACCCACGGCTCCTGCCCAGGGTGAACCCCGGGGGACCTGGCAGGGCCTGTCCAGCGGAGGAGGCGGCTCTGGAGCGGGGTTGTTTACTGCCTGTAAACCGGGGCGGCCTCAGCTTGGCCCGCCAGCCTGCCGCTGGGATTAGGGTGAAGTCGGCCAGCTGCTCTGCCCAGGAAGCCCCTTGCCCTGTGGGGCCTCCCGGCCAGGTGGGCAGAGGGCAGCCCGGCCCCTGCTCCCAAAGACCCCAGGTGCTCAGGGGACCCAAGCCTTGGCCCTCAGGGAGCTCCCAGACCCCCCCCCCCCACCTGCCCAGCAGCCAGGGCAGGCAGTTCCCTAGAGGTTGGGGGGCAGAGGACCCTGTCCGTGCCCTCAGCTGGACATCGGTGCATGCTGAGGAGCCTTCTTTTCAGCTTCCGAATCTCATCTCGAACCTGCACCAGCAGACCCTGGGCTGCCCCAGGAAGCCGTGGTTTTCCAAAGCTCAGGGCCTGTGGCCGAGCCCCTCCCCCCACAGAGTTGGAGAATCTTCTCCGGCAGCCACTCCTGCAGCCTGCACTTGCATAGGCTCAGTGACGGGGAGCTCATTCCATTTCAAATGGAATAAAGTTGTAAGAAGGTTTCTAAATAGTCACCTCACATCTGCTTCATTGCAATTTCTGCATATTGGAGATTTAAATTTTGTCATCTGGGGAAAAAATAGAGTAAGTGTAAACCTTCATTCAAACATATATCTCAGCCTCTTCCTCCTGCCGACTTCTCTGGACGGCTCCCCGCCTCCGCCCCCCACCCAAGAGTCCCCAGTTTATTTTAGTGTTTTCCGAAATGAGCCAGTTTTTGGTGCTTGTCCTGGTCACGCCCTGGAAGCCCTCGAGTTGTCCGTGACCCTCCTAGATTCTGTCACCTGGACGGGTCCCGGCTGGCACTGTCCTGCCATAGGAACGTCCACATCTGACACCGCAGACAGCTGCAGGGTGGCTGCTCACTGTCCTAGATGACAGCTCGGGACATTTCTCCCTCTTGAAAAGAGAAAAGGAATTTGTTTTTCTAAAAATAGGCAGGCCTAGAATTTAATCTAGTAAGCAGATGAGGTGCACAGCCATCTGTCCCCGGACCCCAGCACCTCGCCGGGGGTTTAGGGCCACGTGGGCCCAGACGGGAAGGAGGTCAGCCCTGCCTCCCCGCAGCCCCTCCCTGCTCTCACTTGGATTTGCCGCCCCATGTGACCATTCCTGTCTCTGTCAGTGCCGTCCGGGCGGCTGTCCCCAGCTTTGCAGGGTAGGTGGCAGGGGTCCCCGGCCGAGCCTGCCATGGTGCTGGTAGGTCTCACGGCTCCCGGAGAGCCACTCGCCTGGAACAGAGTCATGTCCTCAGCAGCCTCCGCAGGACTCTGGTCCAGGGCCCCATGCCCAGGGCCACAACCTCAGGCCGAGCCCCAGGCCCCGTCTTGAACAGGCTTCGGGGGCATGTGTCGGGACAGCAGGACCTCATGGGGGGCTGCGTGTTTTCCGCGCCGCCCCCGCCCTGCCCAGCCCGTCCTCTTGAACTGTGCCTGAGGGCTCGGGGGCAGATGGGATCCGTTTCCCGCTTGGCTCTGAAGTGGCCGGACGTTGAAAAATGTCAAATAAAATAAGCCGGAGCCCCCTGCCTTCGCCCAAGCTGGCTCTGATCGCACCGCGGCAGTGAGCCCCCGGCCTCAAACAGACGCCGCCCAGCCTCCCGAGAGGAGCAGGTCGCTGTTGGTGGGAGTGGCAGAGGTCGGCCCGGACGTCCACCCACCTTCAGCCCCAGGAATTCCCCCCACGACCCTGGCTTTGTAGTTTGTACTGGGAGGAGGGGACCTGTCTGAGTTCGGACGCCCGGGGAGCGGAGCCGTCTTTCCCCTCTGCCTCGTCTTCTGTTTCCTGGAAGCTGTTCAGGTGGCACACCCAGTGCGGGGCTGGGCCGGGCCTGGCTTTGGCCCGTGGAACACGAGGCTTGGGACAGAGGAAAGTGAGGGCCACCCGGGGGGACCCGCTGTTCAAGGTCGGCATCGAAACAGTTTCTGCCCTTGAGCTGCATCAGACCGACGAGGAGGAAGAGGCCTCGGAGGCCCAGGACAGAGGCAGCCCCGGGCGGCCAGACTGCCCGGGTTCGAATCCTGGCTGCCCTCGCTCCCGGTGCCTTTGTCCAGGTCCCCTTCACCCTCCACCGATGCTCACGCAGCTGGCAGCGAGGACGGGGTGTGAGACGGTTCCAGCAGTTGACGTGCGGTGTGGACGCACCAAGTGCAAACTCCCGGTGACGACAGCGTTCGGGAGAGTGTGCGCTCGTCTTCCCTCTTGAACTCGATGTCTCTGGGGCCCCCTGGGAGAGCTTCCTAAGTGGTCTGCCCTGAAAACGGCCACACTCTGACGCAGGGATGCCCCCCGTGCAGGGGCCTGAGCCGGCATCGTCACACAGGAAGAGGGTCCCGGGCTGCGGGCCCGCAGAAGTGTGACCGAGAGACTGAGGTTTGAGAGCCAGGTGTTTGTTGGGGAGGTGGTGGCAGAGCCCGGTTGGAAGCAGGGAAGGGAGTCCAGGGAGGAAGGACCCCAGTGAGGGGGTAAGTTCACCTGCAGGGCTGCAGGGCGGTGGGGCGCAGGGATTTCTGGGACTTTCTGCGGAACCCAGAGGACAAAGAAGTGTGGGTTTCTGTGCCCCATGGGGTCCTGGCTGCTGCACCAGGAGACAGGGCCCGGGCTGCGAGTCCCCGGGGCCCTCAGGGACACTCTGTCGGCACCCACGGGGACCGCGGCTGCAGAGGGCACCCAGGTGGGACAAAAGTGGCATCCATTATAGAGGGAAGGTGGGAAGGAGGGTGTGGAGTCAGACTCTGCATCTCATGGGAAGGAAGGGGTGGCTTCAGAGAGCCCCCTAGCTCTGTAAACACCCTTTCATTCTTCAAGCAGAAGGGTGGTGGCCCTCGCAGTCCCTGTGGGGATAATCTGCATCGCTGTGTCCGCTCAGACCCAACAGGGCTGGTGGAAGGCGGAGTCAGCCAGGTATTCCAGAGGGGTGGCTGGAAGGATGCTAGTTGCCATGGTGACTATGCGGCTGAAGCTGCTGAGCGGCCCCTCCCTCCGTGTGTCCTAGTAACCTACAATTGAGCTGCCTTTTTCACCGAGTTTGATGACATGCAATTTGGTTGACAATCAGGGTGGGGACGGAGGTGGAGCAGGCCGCAGAGAAGGGTTTGGTGTTTCCGCCAGCCACTCCCCCCTGCCTGCCGGTCCCCTGCTCCTCCTCTTTTGTTGTGAGCCCTGCTTTTCCCACAAGGCTTCCGTCCTGCCAGCTGGGCTTGCCTGGTGCCTGGAAGTGCCGATGTTGCAGGGGAGCGCAGGTTCGGAGGCGTGGCCAGCCAGGGCTCAGAGCCCGGCTCCGAGGCTTCGGGAGGACCTTCCCGTTGTGGTGGCGGGAGTGATATGAGACTAGGACCGTCATCTGCACACGGTCCTAGAAGCCGTGTTGTGTGCGCGAGGTGTGCAGGAGAGGCTCTGGAGGAACGTTACCTTCCTTCCTTTGGCTCAAGGTGCCTGGAAAACCAAACCTGTAACAGTCCTGAAGGCTTTACGCTGGAACTTTCCTGCCTGGGCTGTCATGCCCACTCACCCACTTGTCTTTCCTGAACCCCCTCCTCCGGGAAGCCTGCCATCATTCACCCCACTGCAGGTGACTGCGGTCCGATCTTGGAGCCTGTGTCTCATTGGCGATGGTTTCACGATTCTCTAGCGATGGCGTGGCACCTACGGTTCCCGAAACACCCACGAGGCGCTGCCTCGCTCAGTCTGAGCAACACTGAGTCGGATGAGGAATTGGAAGCCAGCTTAACTGGCTTGCCAGGATCCCGTAGCTTGAAAGTGGCATCTCCGGAGCAGAGCCCGGGCCTCCACCCCACAGCCGCTCCCCTCTGTCTGTGGCCCACGTGTCCCCAAGCCCGGGAGCATGTCGGGGACCGGGATCACACCCCTTCCCCCGGAGCCAGAGCTCTCCTAGGACGGTGCCCCTCAGGTCTCTCGGCCTCCACTGAACACGGAACCTCAGGCCATGCGGGAGACCCCGTGCTGAACTGTGTGTCAGAGAGTGCTCCTGGAGTGCCCCCAGGTGTCCCCCATCTCCTCAGGCAGGGCCTGGCTCCAGAGGACCACAGGCAGCCTCAGAGCCGTGGGTGGCAGGCGCCCCACCCCCAAGCCTCTGTGAATGCGGGTCCCTGTGGGCCTGTTCAACGGCCCCACTGTCCCGAGACGAGCTCCAGAGGCCAGCGCCCGGCCCCAGACTATCGGGCGTCTCTGGCTGAGCAGCTGACGACAGGCCAGCAGGGCAGGGGGGGACTTGCCCACAGAGCTGTGCATGGGGCGCCCGTGGGGGCTGGGGCTGATGTTCTCCCCTGAGACATCACCGCTATGACTGGGCGCCTGTAGGTGGACGCCTGACAGTCAGCATTTGACAACCAGGCGGAAAGAGTCGGGCCTGAGGCCCAAAGCACGGAGCCACCTCAGAGACAGGTTGCCACGCACCAAGCGGGCAGGCAGCCGTGGTCTCAGACAGACGGGTGGGAGGGGACAATGCGGGGGCCAGCACACGCGTGGCAGGCAGTCCAAGGCAGGGCGGTGAGGGACAGGCAGCCACTGGGAGACCCATCCTAGAGCCACTGGTGGGGGCCGGGGGACGCAGGGCGAAAGGGCAGGGGGTGTGCAGCCTCCACGCAGGCAGAGTGAGTGGCGGGGGGACTCCTCCAGGCTGAGGTGAGCACCCCCAGGGCAGGGTGGGGCACCCTCACCAGCCAGCCAGCTTGTCCTAAGAGGGGGCTCTCTTGTGTCTTGTTTCTTGTCCCTTTGTCCCCACGGGGCATCTCCAGCCTGGGGATGCTGACCCCTGGGTTGCTGACCTGTCCTCACCTCCTTATCTGACTTCCTGCCCTCTCCCCGCCCCTCCCCTCACTGTCACCTTCCTCGGTCTCGCCTGGCTTCTGTCTCTGCCCCGATGGGGTCGATGACAGGGCCAGTATGGAGTGACAGGGTCGTGCAGACAGACTCGGGTGGCGGATCCCCAGGACTGCTGGCATTCTGCTAAGTGCTACTGGACGGAGAGGGACAGAGCTTATCACCCAGCTGTCACCATCCCTTCCCGACCCCCACAGCCTCTGCAGAGGGGCCTCGGCACCGCGGAGCGGACTTCCTCAGATGACCCCTGTTTTCTGGGTCTCTGCCGAGCCAGGAGCCGTGTGCTGGAGGCTCCAGCTCGGAGTCCGGGCCCCGAGGTGTGGAGGCAGCAGCCACCCTGACTCACAGCATCCCGGCCAGTCCCCAGGGTTGGCTTCCTGTCCTTGGGCGGCAGGTCGGCAACGTCAGGGGGACATTCAGGAGTCCGTGTCACTGGGTTTAGTTCTGGATTTGCCCCTCACTACCTGCGAGACCTCCAGTGAGTCCCTTTGCCTCTCGGTGCTCGCTGTCGCCGTCTGGAAGGAACAGTGGTGACGATGTCTTCCTCGTGCTATTGATCAGAGAGCCACTAAGTATTTGTAGAGCAGCCACTAGACCCGGCATTTGGGGACACGGCAGACGGAAAAAACAGTCATTTTTAAACTCATAGACAGGAAAGGGACGGCAAACCAGCCATGTATTGTGGCAGTGTAGGTGGCGCCGTGTGCTGCCGGGGAAAATCAGGTGGAGCAGGGCAGAGCCTCGGGCACAGGCCCTGGGGATGGGGCTCTGGGCTGGTGGCTCTGCGAGGGCAGCCCGTGCAAAGGCCCTGAGGCGAGGGCAACAGCCCACGCAGAGCAACGGGGGACAGTGCTCAGAAATGAAGCTGGGGGTCTTGCACAAGGACTTGGGCTTCCCGGCTGAGTTCGGGGGGGGGCGGGGGCTGGCTCCAATGTTTGCAGAGGGTCTGCCTGGCAGCTCCAGGGAGAATAGACCCCTGGGAACCGTAGAGAGCCCGGGAGCTTGGAAGAGGAAACCGCCCCGTCACCTGGGAGAGAGAACATGGTGCTTAGCCGGGGCGGCGCCGGTGCAGCTGCTGCGCAGGGGCCTGAGGGACTAAGGAGA